TGGGGGGGGGGGGGGGGGAGAGAAGGAGGTGTTAATCAGAATTTTCAACTGTTTCTTCCTGCTTAATAATGGCATCAGTGACTATTCTTATAGCAACAAGGTTTTATGAACATCGTTGGGTGTAATCCATGTGCTACACCTTTACAAATTCTTTTAATTGCATTGTGATTCTGCTAATTAATGCCATTCCAAAGACCTATACTGAATGTTATTGTAGCAAATACTTTGTCACCAAATAATTTGGGCTTTCCATTTTGAACCTAGTCTGTTCTCATAACATTGCACCATAGTATTTGTGTTCCTGTGGTCAGAACATGAAATAGAACAGAATGATTAGTGCAGAGCAAGATGCTTATTTGGTAAATAAGTTCATAGTATAAATCAGGAAAACGCTGATTTCTCTTAATATACATCTTTACTATCTCCTCCTTATTATATTTTTGGCACTTCATGTTTATCAGAATAATAGCACAAGAGGAGTCGTTTTTTATCTGAAATCATCCTTTAACTATAAAGGAAAAGAGGAAGAAAGAATTTCACAAGGACTAGCATCATTTTTATAAATAGGGTAAAAGCAGCAAGCACATTCTCACTGAATGAATCATTTTCATCCAGAGCTCCCTGTGCGATCCAGTAAGGTGTTTGAGCTTATGTGTCTGTGCAGCGCCATATCCGTTTAAGCAAAGTAAACAAAGCCTTATTTTTATGCAGCCTGCTCAGTCCCTTAATAGGCTGGGACGATATTTGCAGATAGAGACACATATGAGCGCTGTGGCTCCATTTGTGCCAGAATGAGATGGCAGCTTTGAAATGCCATGTTATATGGATTATATATGGGGTTATTGTCAAATAATCATTGTACTAATTTCTGGGTTATCTAAAGTGTCTTTTTTTGCAATGTTCTTTTATGGTGCTTATTCTAAATATGGAATCTGTTCCTTGAAACTTTTTTTTTCCATGTCCCACTCTAGTGAAAGTGACATGACATGGCTTTTCTATGACTGCCTGAGGGGGTGAACAGTGGTCCTGAGCTATAACAAAGAGCTGAGTTTTGTTAGCACTCTTATGCCCTTAAAAAATGTTTCCATTTTTTGTTCATAAGAGCATTAGTGAAGGAAGGAAGCATGCTTTTCTACAATGACGTAACAAAGTATTGGCAATATATGCATTAGAACACACATCTGAAATGCACATGGGAATATTTATAGGAATTCACTGTCTAATGTATACTGCAATATAACTAGAGTTCTTTGGCATCTATAGAGTGTCCTTCGTTTGCTCTCATTTATCATCAAACAAATCATAATGACATACAGTTCACTATATAATTCCTGACTGACTGCAATCAGTTGGTGAAGGAGAAAGAAGAAACGCCTTTACAGTTTGTACACTGTTTAAAAACTCTGAAACAAATCAGAGCATTTGATATATATTAGAAGCATGAAAAATATCATGGAACAGCTGAAAATAGTAGCTTCCTCAGTGATCATAAATGTATTTTTCACTCCAAAAACATTCAGTAGTAGATGCCACTGTTAACCAGTACGTGACAAATCGAACTTGTTAAATACAATCCAAACATGTCAAAAATTATAGGCAAAAAGCAAACCAGGTTCATACTGAATATGCTATTCTTTCTACAATAGCACCTTGAATGTAGATACACCGTACTTGCTTACACTACATTGTTACAGTAAAATAGTTTTTTACCTATTTTATGTGCACTTCCTTTATCTAAACTTATAAATGATTCCTGACATTAGCAAATAATCCTAGAAATAAACCGTTACTAACCACTGCGACATACTAATCCATACTAATCCTGTGGTACTGTTGGCATTGCTAAATATTCTGCAAGAGATACTCTTCAATTGAAAGGAACTGCAGGTATTAAAATATTAGAGCACATTGTGACTAACAGCACAATCTTATATGCACATTTTCAAAGGTAAGTCCCTCAACTGTAACTTCAACTATTTAGACAACCCTTAACTATTAGCACGTAAACCACTTATGAGTATAAGCTTTGGTGGAATGTTCTAATTATCTTTCAATGTGTGGATGTAAAACTTTTTACGAAGTGTGCACACGTTTTAAAATATTTTTGCTCTGTAGTAATTTCTCTAACAAAAAGGTAATTCCTGCTGAGTTGAAATATCGTATTTACTTTCTATAGTTGGAATGATAAACACAGCTATGTATCTTAAACAAAACATTAAAAGTTGTTTTACAAGTTGCATCTGCAGCACTTCGTTGCTTTCATCTGTGTTTGCTTTCTGTCTCTTCAGTAGATATCAATGTCACAGGGATATTTCAAATGAAAATCATTCCAATGCATCTTCCTCCCTAACATTCAAGTACTGTGCAGAATCTTTTCCTTTGCAGTAAAATATGGTTTCATTCAGTGCAGGGATTATTTTGTTATTGCTGGTCACACAGTCAGCCAAATGTTTAGACTGGATTTGGCATTGTTATCCACCTATAGAGTCCCTCCCAAGAACCTGGGATAGGCAGATGCTGTTGTTTGATGGTGTTAAAGGTATCGTCGCAAGATGTAAGCTGTTCCAAGTAAAGCTGCCTTTTGTAATTGATTGATGACGTTTTTTGTCAATGCTGATGGTGTTCAAATGGTGCTCCAGATGTTTTGGGATTGCATCAAGACTTATTACTATTGGTACTGTCTTTGCTTTCTTTTGCCACAGTTATTCTACTTCTATTTGCAGGTCTTTGTATTTTGTGATTTTCTCCAGTTCTTTCTCTTCTCTTCTGCTGTCTCCGGGTATTACAATGTCCGCTATCCAGACCTTTTTGTCTTTCTTATCACCAATTGTTAAGTCTGGGATATTGCGTGGCAGGTGCTTGTCTGTTCGAATTCTAAAGTCCCAGAGCACTTTAGCTTCTTCATTTCTATTACTTTGTCTATTTTGTGGTCCCACCAGTTCTTGCCTGCAGGCAAATGGCATTTCTTGCAGATATTCCAATGCACCATTGTTGCTACTTTGTTATGCCGTTGTTTGTATCAGTCTGTGCAATTTTCCTGCAGCAGCTAAATAGGTGGTCCACTGTTTCTTTAGCTTCTTTGCAGAGGCGGCAGTTGCTGTCTGTTGCTGTCTTCTTGATTCTGCCTTTGTATGCATTTGTTCTTAAGGCTCAGTGTTATGCAGCCAGAATTAATCCCTCTGTCTCTTTTTTCAATTTTTCTGCTCTTAGCCATTGCCAGGTCTTGTTATCTGCTTTGCCTGCTAGTTTTTTTGTATACTGGCCATGTAACACTTTGCCTTGCCATGTCTCTTTTCTATTCTTCATTTGGTCTTTCCTGTAGGCTACTCTGGTCTCTTCAGTATTCAGTAAGCCTTCATGGTGTACCAGCTTCAGTGCATCTTCTTCACTGTCCTTCAGATATTCTTCCAGTGCCCTTTTTTCTTGTTCAACTATCTGATATACTTGTAACATTCCATGCCCACCTACGCTCCTTGGTAAATAGAGTCTGTCAACATCACTGTGTTGTTTTTTTATCATCATCATCATCATCATCATCATCATCATCATC